AGTCTCTACTGCTATTCCCGAGGGACCACATCTTAAAGTGTTACTCAACTTTGTTTAGGATTCAGTAAGAGTTTTCCTGCTGCAGGACAGAGGAGGTGATAAAGAAGAGTTTCAGGAATTGGCCAGAGTTAAAATCCTGGAAAGCAAAAGTTTATAAATTGTCTTTGTAGAAATGTTTACTCCCTCTTAATTTTCCCATGAATGGAAGGGAGGGAGAGGATCATCTGAAGGTCCCCTTGCAGGAGAACGCACAAAAGCACAAAGTATAGTTTTTCCTAGCCCTTAACAGTGCTCTACCCCTACTGATTAGTTATCCTAAAACTTCCATTCAGCAGTCATATAAATTTATACTACTGTAACATCCATGAATTTTTATCTATATCTATTGTGTCTCATTAGAAAGACTCTTTCTAGCACTAGAGCTTCTGCCCTGCCTGTGAGGAAATTATAGCCTTTCTTCAGACAGAGCACCACTGAAGGAAATCAAAGACTACTAGCTACTTCCCCTGTGAATTATTCAAGGCCTTCTACATAAAAATTTGTTTGGCACAGCTATTCCAGAATAACACCCAGTATTAATACTGCAGTATTCCAATTTGAAAGTGTCTTTATTTGTGACTGATCATTCTACGTAAGAATACTTCTTGTAAGTGATCAGTTTTTCCAACAACTTCTGTTTAGAGCTTCCATTAGGCAGGAGCGTATGTAGTAAAATAAAGCCTCAAATGTAAACACAAAGCCAACCACAACATATATCATTTAATCGCCAGATTTCAAATAAACATCTTGTTTTTCAGACATTTTCTGTGAAACTGTAGCTGTATTAAGCTTGGTTGAAGTCTTCCATTGCCTCCGTGCAGGATTGATTGGCTCTAATACTGTCCTGCAAAACTAGTAATTTTGTATCCCTACAGATAGCTTTTGAACCTTGACTGGTGTGAATGCATCAATGAAGTCTAAATATCTGCCTTTGTAACACCCTGCAGGTGTTTCAGATAGCAAAGAGACTTGTTTGCATATGTCAATACATGTTTTCAAACAAAACTTTGGTACATTTCAGATCCTATCTTGGACTGTGAACTCCTCAGGCAAGAGGAAATGGATATTCACATCTGGAAGCAGTAGTAGCACACCTGGACAAGTTGATATTTAAACATTTTTGGGTTTAGAAGTTACAATTCAATAGTTCTGGATTTATAACAGCATCTATATATATGTCTGTTGGAACAGTCGATCAGTAGTTAACAGCCAGAGGGCTCCACCTAAGCCAAGGAACAGGACAACATCAATGTCTGAGATATAAAATCTGAATGAAAGTCAAGAAGGGCAGGAAACTCCTCCAATCAAATGTGTCTTTGGGCAGGGACTCTTAGTTTCACAATGCAGAATGAAACTTCAAGAGAACTTTCCAATAAAAAACTTGCCCTAATATTCTACAAAGCACAGGTCTGTTCAGTTCCCTACAAAATTCACAACTGTACACCTTATGTGAAAAATATGAGCAAAACATTCTTAACCCCTCACATACCTGAAGAGCTTATGTCTCATATTCAGAAGTGTCTTACGTTTTATTGACTTTGAATTTCATTTAAGATTTTTAAGAATATTTTGACTGTCTCCGGGAATGAGCACAAATGTTACATGATCATCCAGCTCTTCATAGTTTACAAGCAAGTGCTCTCGTAAGTTAAAAACATTGGTATAGGGGAAAAAAAATATCAGGTTTAGCAACTATGCCTAATGGGAACTTTACAAAAAATAAAAAAAAAAAATACAAATAGAATCACTGTATTTATTCAACTACATACTATTAGTCACTCCCTGTTGTCTGTGTTACTGAACCGTCCTGCTTCAAAGGCAGTTATCAGCCCAGAAATATTTTCATCCAAGGGTTTAAACTGCAACAACTGTGAGGACACGTGGAAGATTCTTCCGTCATTATCTAACCATTCAGTTCTAATATGAGCGCTCGACTGGGAAGGTCTGTGACTAGTGGAGATGGATAAACAGTTGGAGGGGAGGGTTTTGACTGTTTAATATATGTGCCAAACTGTCTTTCTAGGGTCATGGAGACTCGGCAATTCCTGGGGGCTGTCAAACTGATTACACGCAGCAAACCAGCCAGTGTGTCTCTGCCTGCTGCTTAGAGTAAGCACTGATATGCCAGTCAGACTTTACTATCAAGTGCAAGCTTATGTGTGCTTGAGATGTTGTGCAGCCTTCAACTCGATGGTGTAATCAGTAATTTAAAAGCTTTCAAATACTCTAAAAATTTTTGTCTTGCACTCCAAAGGGAATCTTTGTTCCTAATACAGAGCCCAAGTCTGCAAGTTCTTTGTGGAAGACCAGGCTCCCAGCATAGACATACAACTGTTAAGCAGTTGTTTGCATTTCAGCAGTGGTATATTGTTTTATATTTCTCTACAATAATTTCTGTAAAGGCTGTGAGATTCTTTGTGTTGGAAGGCTATAAAAATGTAAGTTGCTATTAATTATATTGACTTGCATGACTTTATGTATGGCCATTTTGCATTGCAGAAATACTTAGAAGAAAATTTACTCTTTTAACTTTTTCACACATCATTACATTGTATTTGAGAGGATTTAGCACATTTTCTGATTTTGCTTGCCAAATTGGGCATTCGTGTTTAAAATTTACAGCTGACTTGACATTCCAGAAACTAAGCATGATTACCAATTATGTCTCTGTCTTGTAGTAACCTACCTAACTAAGGAAATATTGGGAGATCTGAATTTTTACATCAAGGAGCAAATATGAGGTTATTTTTATGAAGAAGCTCTGTTTATTCAATTATTGAAAAAAACATGCTACACTCTATGTAAGGCCAGTAATCATTATCAGCTGCTGCCAAAGCCCCCATATATCCAAACATGTATAAAGGAAAAATAACACAAATTTTCTTCATTTGTCTGACAAAGTCATTGCCATCCAGGAGGCTGCAAAGATGGCAGCCTTATTTGTCAACACCAGAGTACTCACGCACACAGTTTGAAAGATGCCACATACAGTATAGTTTTGCAACCTGAACCATGCAACCTGAAGTTCAAACAAAAGCAGGAATACTAACTCTGTTATATGAAGGGAAAAGAGCAATTTGTGATATAGGAAGCATAGCTACTTGGACAGTATAGTTTGGGAAAAAATGTTACTGTTCTATTATATTTGATGTAATCAGAGCTGAGAAAGGTCTTACAAGAAGATGAGAGAAGGAGGACATCATCTTCTCTAAATACATTCACACACACACACACCCCCAGGATTATAACTGTACATTTTAACCCCTCAACAGTTATTCAGGGACTAAAACTGCCTTGGAGGTTAGTTACAGATAATGAAAAACATTAGAAAGAACTGAGGGGAGGTAACTGAATATTTACCAATTAAACCTTTAAGTATTTACTATTTTTTGTTATAGTATAAGGGATAGTAAACACAGTTGCTTATTAGATCTAAGATCACATGTCATTTCTGAAAATCCTGTGTAACAGCCAGTAACTCATGTAAAAACAAGACTTTATACCACCTAGATGTCATTTTCCTTCCTTTGTAATGAAACTACACGGGGTTTGGGGTACCTACACAGAGGAACAGTTTCAGACTGAGGTGAGAGTTGTGCTGCTATTTGCTTCTTCACAAATATTTGAGTCATGTTCCTCCTGAGCATACATGTTAACAATGCAGCAAGAGCAAACGGTAAATCAATTCAGCTGCAAAAGCCGCTGGGTGCTCTCCTCTCACCCTTCCCAAGGCGCAACAGCCACTCTCAGTGGCTTACTTTCACTTCCTCATTTCTCTATAAAACAAGGAGAGTGCAGAGAGGGCATCATTCTGTGAATTGTTGTCAGATTCTCTGAGCCAAACCCCAGAAGCATGTAAGCACCTATTGTTTTGAGACCTTTTATGAAACATACCCAGAAGTTAGACTGCTGTTAAAACTGTATAAGCGAGGCTCTCTTTTGAAAAGCAGAAAATAAAGGCTGCTAAAGCAATTGTACCTGTTCAGCTGGAGTGAAAGGATGTATTGGAGAAGTATTGGTGTTAACGTAACTTTTCTAACAGGAAGAGAACTGAGGAAGAGTTAAGACAAAAGGTTTATTAGGAAGCTGGGAACAGCACATCACCAGCACTAAATCAAAGAAAGCAAGCAAAAAAAGGAAAGTAACTATGTGAAAGAACACTTACTTCTCCCCCCAAAAATGAACTCTTTGCTTTCTCTTTTCACGTGAAAGCGTAGGTTTGTATTTTGTGTCTCAAAATTAAATGTATTTTAAAAGTGGTTCTTTTAATGTTAATATATACTCTCTTTTCTTGTATAATAGCTAGTTTTAGGGTAGGATAAACAGATTGTGGAAATGTTTTTAACAGTACGGCAGTTAAAATTCACAATTACTTGACTTTACATACATCAGTGGAACACCTTAATCATGTACTTTAGGAGTAACTAGTAATTTATAGAGTAAACAAGGGATTCTAGTAGGGAGCAGGCAGATGCCACTTAGATCATCATGTTCCTGCTTGGAACTGGCTTTCAAACATATGGGCCATATTTTTGATTTGTGGATCTTCAAAGGCTAATCTAGAGAAAGACAATATAATAGTAAATACAGGTGAGAAGAAGAGGGAATAAAATCAAGCAGATGCAACTGCATAGTAAAGAGGCTCAAGGGCAACCGAAGGAAGAAAACCAAGCCAGACACAAGAGCTTACCTTGTCCGAGTGTGAAAATACCCACATTAATTGATCTCAGGAGATGCAGGCAGAGTATGAGGGAAGTTATCCTCACAGTGATGGGCTTCAGGAAGGCCTTGAGACATCCCTCTTGGGAAGGATTTGATAATCTTGCATTTATAAAGTTGCAATGCTTTCCTTACCTTTTGTGCCCAGAGAACTCATTGCTGCATGTGAAAGCAGAGAACTAACGGATGGCAGCTCCTCTCTCCTGCTGTTTGCACGGGGAAGCACAATACAAATTGTGGACATGCAGCAGCAGTTGTGGGTGGCAATGGAAGCAAGGACAGAGCTAGCGGGAAGCGACAGCTGGGAATACAAAAGAAAAAGCAATTGGGATTTGAAAGCAACAGGTGGGAGCAGGAATCAGAAAACTATAGTTAAGACCTCTGAAGAGGCAGGAACTAATCCAGTCCTTGTTGAATAAGTCCATTGGAAGAGCAACTTGAAGAGACAAAAAAGGAAACAAGCAGAGAGAATATGATGATATTGTGTGACTGGAAAGCAAACACAAAAGGCAATTCCTACTTGCTGTAGTTGTTTGCTAGCCTGACCTATATTGTAATATTCATCTGTGAATGACATGTGATTTTGATAGAAAAGAGTGGCTGGGCTGTCACTTTAAGAGCAGACCAGAGCTAGCTGTAGCTGTGAAGCTGCAATGAGCTCTTCCATGACAGGTGGACAGGAAAGGGACAAAAAGGGTTATTTAAAGTCTGCTCGCTCTTGGTGCAGTGGCAGGTGTGCTGGCAGGCGGCTGGGCTCAATGACCTTCTAGAGTTGTGCTCCCACATTCACCGAGTGGGCTGGATGTGACTGACAGGGCCTCTGTGCCCTTAAGACGCAATGTCTGAAGTTAGTGCTTTGGGTCACGTTCCAGCCAAGGGAAGCAGTGCAGCGAGACGGAGGGTCGCCATGTCCCCTGAGCCAGGCAGGGTGGAAACGCCACCTCACCTCACGCAGCCTCAACAGACAGAGGGGGTGCTGGGGCCGGTCTGCAGTGGCCACTTCAGGCATTGGGTGGGGATAATTTTGGACCATTTGGGGACCGGTGGTCCCAAATGCCCCCCTCCCCCCGCTTCCCCTGGGGCACCCTGCCCACCCCCACGGGAGAAGAAGGGCCGACCCTGTCACTGACCGCGTCTCCACACAAGTCAGGGGCGCCCGTGAGGGGACGCGCGAGCCTCG